GAAATAGGAGCTCCGGACTCAATGGCTTCTCCTGTTTGTATAGCTTTCTACTTTCTGAGCTAGTGGAACATAGGTAATATTCTCTACCAAATCGTAATCCTTAGATAGTTCCTGGGTGGGTGAGACCTAACCAAAACACCAGTAAACCTCAAAACTTCTTTTGCCAGACAGGGCCTCTCATTCTTTTTGTTTCCATTCATTCCCTGAATTTTCAGCTTTTTTCCATTTCAAAGGGAGAAGGCAGATGTAGATAGTCCCATTTGTGTGTGTGTGTGTGTGTGTGTGTGTGTGTGTGTGTGTGTGTGTATTTGGGCAACCAGGTAGCAGAGAACATAATGGACTGCTTGGGAGTACCTGTCAGAGGCTACTATAAATACAAACAGCAGCAAACAAAGCAAGACTGGAACTTTCTGCCCACTAACAAGTTAGACAGGTATGGACATTAGGTGGGCAAGCAACTATTTCTCTTGATCTCACAGCTCTGATTAATTTTGAAAGAGCAAGCATAAAGTAACTCCATTTAGGAAGTAATCTCCTCTTACTCCTCTCCATAGTTTTCCATTGTCAGAACTAAATTTGTCCTGTAGGGTGTCTCAATGTCTGTTCCTGGGATAGGTTGTCCTATTTGGCATTGACTGGGTTTGAACTCAAGGTCTGGGCACTTTTCCTGAGCACTTCTCCTCAAGACTAATGCTCTACCACCTAAGAGTTCCTTGGAGGTGAGAGTCTCTTGAGCCATGTCTCCAGCCTGGCTCTTGGCTGATTAGCTGGGAAATAGAGCTTTAGACAGATTCTTTGTGCCCAGGATGGCTTTGAATGGTGGCAAAAGGAGTCTTTGCCATAAAAGATCTTTATATTTCCAATTCAAGAAACAAGGAGGTCAATGAGATAAAGGTTACCTATAACTTGTTAATAATTGACTAACAATTGCTTGACAGAATTTTGTAGTAAAACCCAGTAGATATTTTAAACTACAACTGATTGACATTAAGTACTGGCCCTTGCCTCTGAGCAGCCTTTTTAAAGTCATACAACATTTAACTTTAAACAAATATACAGACCCTTTCTTGGGCTATAGCAGTATATCTTGTTTAACATTTTGGTTTGTAAACGCGTTTTTCTGGTTGATTGAGGAGCCTGATCTGTAGTGGTCCCAAAAATGCCTGCCCCTGGAGGCCTTTAGAAAAATATCACTAGGGACCTAATCTCAGGTCACAACCACTTTTCCTTAACAGATAAATTAATGTCCCTGGGCCAGCTCAAAAGTCACTGCCATTTAGTACTTTGAGCAGATAGATACAGGGCATTTGGGATTTCAATTATCCCTCACATTTTACAACTTTAACTTTTATAATCCAGAACCATAGATGACTGGCAAGTCCCTGCCAAGTCAGACAGACATGGGCATTAGGCATGCCTACAAATTATCTTCCCATGACTTCCGGAGTCTGATCAAGCTTTGAAGGGCCAAGCCGAATTGACTCCAGGATCTGATACCATCTCTGCCATCCAAAGAGCAGTGGCTTACTGCCTCTGCATGTTCCAACATTCCCGGGGTTCCCGGAATGCCTTTCTCCATGGTAGCATAAATACTTGTTTAGCAGTTTCCTTCATTGCTTGCTGGACTTGAACTCAGGGTTTGAGTATTGTCCCTCAGCTTTCCAGATCAAGAACTCCAAACCACAACTTCGCTTTTGAGTACTCTGCTGGCAGATTAGAGATAACAATCTCACAGGCACTTTTCTCTACACAGCCTAGCTTCACACCACTTTTCAGCTTATGGCCACATTTACTCCAAGTAAAAGCAACAAAGATGGGCACTGGAAGGAGATTTAAAAGCATGGTCTTACCTGGAACTTATTCAGGGCCAACATTATATCTGACAAACTTGTCCTCTGTCCTTTATTGTGGGCCTTTAGGAAACTGTTATAAAAAAACCTATAATGGCAAAGTAGATTAAAGAATCATTTTGGTAATCCTAATTTTTATTTCCTACTTTGAAATTAACTTTAGCATAAGTTTTCCTTTTAAACTTTCCTTTGTCTGGGAGGCCTGTCATTCCCCACAACATCACAAATTTCTGACAATGGGGAGGCCATTTTTAAACCTTTTTGAAAAGTCACTTTACTTTGCATTTAAATTCTTCATTGAAACACTGGGCAACACCCTTTACCCCTTGGCTGAAGGTTTAAACTGACCATTTTTTCTACAGTATAAGTTACATTTAGCAAATTAGCAGTTTATTTTAATGCAGTAGCTCTGTACCAAGAATCTAAACTTAGTATCTCTTGCCTTCTAGAGATAAGTCAACTTAGATTTTTTGCTCATACACCCCTTATGGTCTAACATGGTGGTGATTAACATTACAGAAACAAATCTTTACTGGCTTGTTTTTTATTCTCTTTTTACCCTCAATTCGCAGGCTTTTCATCATGTGTGATTCAGCAAGGCTGGAGTCTAGGCAAGGTTGTAGCATCTTCCAGTGTGTATGGACTGTTGCATCTCTTGCTGGTTACCTGCAAAATTCTATATGCACTGGTTAAAGACCACTGGTGAAAGACCACATTGGCTTTTGCAGGCTGGTGTCACTGGTTTAGGCAGCTGTGACAACTTTGTTCTGTTATGTGGGTATTTCCCATGCATAGGAGCAAACTGCATCTTGACGCACTGTGGTCCCTTGACCTTATAGGGAGTTGATCAGTGTACAGGGGAGGAAACAGAGAATTAAAACCTTTGCCTTTGTTTACCAATCATGGTCAGTGGTACAATATTTAATCTTAGCATAGATAGACATCAGAAATAACATAAATCACAGCCAACTTAATTACCAATTTCATTGACTTTGGAAAGGAAACCATCTTTCTAACTCCTTTCCCATGGCCTTTTAAAACTGCCTGTTTTTTTTATTTGGCTTATAGTCAGGTCACAAAGCAATTCAGATTAAAGGACAGCTTCCACTGACAAAGATTTTTAACAAGCAGAATACTTGGTAACTTTGGAACCATTACTATTTACAAATTTTACATATAGACAGACAGAGATGTTTGTGCACAGATTATAGAGCACACTTAAATGCTAAAATTGGCCATTTAAAATTTTTGGAATTTTAGCAGTAATACTTTGCCTAATCATGGTAGTTCAAAACAAAAAACTTCCAACAAGAAACTTTTTACTAAACAGGAATCAAGACATGAGCAGACATATAATGTGACATAATGGCCACTATCCTGGTCAAGTAAGGGGGGTATGTTTATGGGACCCAAAAACATCCAAGGAAATTTATTGTGAAAGCCACCTTCACACCCTCCCCCTCTTCACTAGGCTTCCCTCAGAGCACCTGGACCAGTTCCCTCCACCAGGCACCCCTGTCATGTGACACCAGGCAGCCCACAAGGATCATTTTTGCCCGTATTTTACCTTGCCAAATATCTAGCACAGTCCTACCTCTCTCTGCTTATCTCTATAATCCCATGGATATCTGTAAATATTCTAGCTAGCTTTTGTCCATCATTTTTTCCATGAGTCTAGTTTTTTTAATTGCCAACTAGAGCAAAATAATAGCAAAACCATAACTTATAATTTGTTATGGAACTAGAAATTTGGAACTAGAAAAAGCAATATTCTCCTCTTGAGAAATTCACTTTCACCCTCCATAACAGTGAGAAAACAGACTCTCCACAATATCCACACTAGTGTTTTATTACTCAGAAGAACAATAGCATGGTCTACAAGTTAAAAATTCATAACAGACTCATGAGTAGTAAATAGAAAACAGCATGTAGTAAAATCATTTTGGCATTACTCATCCAAACACAAATGCTTAAGAATCATGTCTTTATTTTTCCACCAAAGAAACTAGTACTAGTAATAGTGATAGTGTTATACTAGTAATAGTAATAGTGTTATTACTAGTAATAGTAATAGTGATAGTGTTATAATGCATACATAGGCCACAATATAGCGGAAGACTTTTGGGGAGCAGTGGAGTAATTGATGCTCTCATGTCCTTGGATAAAGTCATGATAGTCCTTCCCCATCCATCACTACCAAACCACTCTGGATGATCTGAGTTCCATTTCAAAGGTCCAGAGCACATATTTCTGAAAAGTGTTTATTAAATTTCCTTGAACATCTATTCTTCAATATAAAACCCACAAGTCAACAATTTCACTATCTTAATTCTTTGTCAAGCCTGGAAGTAATTGATACCCATCCCTTTGGTCCAACCCCTGAATAATATGAAGGGTCATCATCACTACTCTACGCAATGAGAGGATGAGAAATGTTGGCTTAGTGAGTGGTTTCCACTTACACCAAGCTTAATTCTGCCATGAAGGATTTCTCTATAATTTACAGAGGTTTCTGCCAAAGGTTTCCCTATGTTGGGTTTCTTTTTTATGTGAGTGCTCTAATGCTGGCTGAAGGTTCATTTCTGCTTGATAGACATCCTCTAATGTTACTTGAAATTCTGCCTTGTCTCTAGGTCTCTGAAATGTGTAGAGAACCTCTGAAACTTCTGGCTAAAAATTGGTCTACATTTATTATACTCACATTTTCTCTCCTTATTTTGTTCTTGGATGTACTGAGGACTGACTTCACATTCAAAATTGCATATTGTTAGGCATGTGAGTTTTCTTTTCTCCTATGTTATTCAGTTCTCTGATGAACACTGTGCTATGCTGTCGAAGTGGGATTTTCTACACTGGTATTATTCATACCTTGTCTTTCTTGTGTGTGAGCTATAAACACTCAGCCATCCATGATTACAAAGTGAAGGACTTTTTTTGATAATTGTTTCATTAATAATCTTTTTCTCCTGTGTGTTATCTGATGAAAATTTAACTCTGACTTCTTGAAAACTTTCCACATTTTTTTCATTCATAAGAATTTTCTCCTGTGTGCATTCAATTTGGAATTATGAGGTATGCCTTCTGGCTAAAAGGCTGCTCATTTGCTACATTCACAAGGCTTCTATCAGGTTTTGGTTCTGTCATGCAAACTTATTTTTCTTCCAAGTGAGACTTTCCATAGTTATCACATTCGTAAGGTTTCTCATGTGTGTGGATTCTCTTATGCTTCCTGAGGTATGAACTCCAAATGAAGGACTTTCCACATCTGTTACATTCATAAGGGTTTTCTCCTGTGTGTGTTCTCTGATGGAGAGTAAGGTATGACTTAAGTCTGAAATACTTTCCACATTTGTTACATTCATAATGTTTCTCTCCTGTGTGTGTTCTCTGATGGAGAGTAAAGTAGGACCTAAGTCTGAAATACTTTCCACATTTGATACATTCATAAGTTTTCTCTCCTGTGTGTTCTCTGATGAACAGTAAGGTCTGACTTATGGGTAAAAGTCTTTTCAACACATTACATTCATAAGGTTTCTCCCCTGTATGAGTTCTCCGATGGACAGTAAGGTATGACTTCTGTCTGAAATACTTTCCACATTTGTTAAATTCATAAAGTTTCTACCCTGTATATTTTCTCTGATGGACATTAAGGTGTGATTTTGATCTGAAATACTTTCCACATTTGTTACATTCATAAGGTTTCTCTCCTGTGTGTGTTCTCTGATGAACAGTAAGTTCTGACTTCTGTCTGAAATAATTTCCACATTTGTCACATTCATAAGGTTTCTCCCCTGTATGTTTTCTCTGATGGACAGTAAGGTGTGATTTTAATCTGAAATACTTTCCACATTTGTTACATTCATAAGGTTTCTCTCCTGTGTGTGTTCTCTGATGAACAGTAAGGTTTGACTTACGGGTGAAAGACTTTTCACACACATTACATTCATAAGGTTTCTCCCCTGTATGTTTTCTCTGATGGACAATAAGTTCTGACCTATGGGCGAAAGACTTTCTACATTTGGTACATTCATAAGGTTTCTATCCTGTGTGTATACTTTGATGAGCAGTAAGTTGTTGCTGTAATCTGAAATACTTTCCACATTTGTTACATTCATAAGGTTTCTCTCCTGTGTGTGTTCTCTCATGAAGAGTAAGGTATGATCTAAGTTTGAAATACTTTCCACATTTGTTACATTCATAAGGTTTCTCTCCTGTGTGTGTTCTCTGATGAACAGTAAGTTCTGACTTACAGGTGAAAGACTTTTCACATACATTACATTCATAAGGTTTCTCCCCTGTATGTTTTCTCTGATGGACGGTAAGGTGTGATTTTGATCTGAAATACTTTCCACATTTGTTACACTCATAAGGTTTCTCTCCTGTGTGTGTTCTCTGATGAACAGTAAGGTTTGACTTACGGGTGAAAGACTTTTCACACATATTACATTCATAAGGTTTCTCTCCTGTGTGTGTTCTCTGATGGACAGTAAGTTCTGACTTACCAGTGAAAGACTTTCCACATTTGGCACATTCATAAGGTTTCTCTCCTGTGTGTGTCCTCTTATAAACAGTAAGGTGTGACTTACAGGTGAAAGACTTTTCACAGACATTACATTCATAAGATTTCTCTCCTGTGTCTGTTCTCTGATGGACAATAAGGTATGACTTCTGTCTGTAATACTTTTCACATTTGTTACATTCGAATAGTTTTTCTCCTGTGTTTGTTTTCTGATAAAGATGAAGGTGTGCATTATAGGTAAAAAAAATTTCCACATTTGTTACCTTCATAAGGTGTCTGTCCTGCATGAATTCTCTGATGAACAATAAGGTCTGGCATCTGTCTGAAATAATTTCCACATTTGTCACATACATAAGATTTCTCTCCTGTGTGTATTCTCTGCTGCAAAGTGATGTATGACTTCATTCTGAATGATTTTCCACATTTGTTGCATTCATCAAACTTCTGTTCTGTGTCAGTTCTGTGATGCCTTCTGAGATCTGACTTTTGAGTGGAAAATTCCCTACATTCTTCATATTCATAGGCTTTCCCTTCTAGTGTTGTTTTAGGTTGGTCAGAACTTAGTTCTGACGTCTTAGAGATAGATTTTGCACATTGATTATATTCATAAGGCTTCTCTGGATATTTCCTCTCAGGTTTTGTAAGGTATAAATCCTTACTAAATGATTTCTCACATTCACTACTTGTATAAGGATTCTCTCCCGTGTCTCTTTCCTGATGCATAGTGACAGGAAACCTCCCTCTGTGACAAAGTTCTTGGGCAATAAGAGCAGACTTTTCATATTCTTTTCTATATTCGTTATGGTTAGAGGCGGGATCTCTGACACAAACCCAATTATGTGGAAAGAATATCAATTCTGAATTTATTATCTTCTCTCCTCCATATTCAAAATATGGACCATCATAATTTTGACTAAAAGCCTCTGAATACCTAAGCAATTGTTTCACTACAGGAGAAATACCAGGTATATATGCAGCCGGCATCTTACCAGGCTCACTGTAGGGGAGCATGTTCTGACACTGAATGAACTCATCCGTCCTCATCCTTAAGGAGTTCTCATCATTCCTATTCAGATCTGGCTTCTGTTTTGAGGTCAAGTTAGAAGTTGTCACTAATTTCACTCGTTGCTCTATTGTGTTAATATTTGTGACAGCCACGTCACACAGACATTCATCTGGACCTTCCTGGTAAGTCTTAATCACATGTTCCATTTTTTGAACATCTAAAATGAGTAATATAAAGAAGAAAAAAACATAAATAAGATCCAAATAGTCCTTAATGTAAAAACATTTTTCCCATCTTAACTGTTACAAATTTTAAAATATTAAAGTAGGAGTTGATTTATGAGAAATAAATTTCTTTCACCACAATGTATTGATTAAGAAAGTAATACTGTTCCTTACACTCTTTTTTGTCGTGGGGCCTGAACTCCAGGCTGGTGTTGTCCTTCAGCTCTTCAGCTCAATGCTAGCTCTCTACCACTTGAGCCACAGCACCACTCCTAGTTTTATCTGCTTATGTGGTGCTGAAGAATCGAACCCAGAGCCTTATGCATGCAAGGCAAACACTGTACCACTGAGCTAATAAGATGCTGGAGAGGATATGGACAGAAGAAAACCCTACTGCATTGTTGGTGGGAGTGTAAACTTGTTCAACCACTTTGGAAAGTAGAATGGAGGTTCCTCAAAAGACTCCACATAGAGTTCCCCTATGACCCACCAATCCCACTTCTGGGCATTTAACCAAATGATCACAAACAAGAACATACTAAGGCTACCAGCACAACTGTGTTAATTGCAGCATTATTTACCATAGCTAAGATAAGGAACCAACACAAATGCCCCTCAGTAAATGAATGGATCAAGAAAATGTGGTATATATACACAATGGAATTCCATGCGTTTATTGGAAAGAATGATATGGCTCCATTTGTTAGGAAATGGAAAGACTTGAAAAACTATATTAAGTGAAGTAAGCCAGGCCGAAAGAAACATAGGTCCCATGGATTCCCTTATTTGCAATAACTAGTATATGTCTCAGACAAGCAGAAACGGTCAATAAGTTGATGTTAGGCAAAATGAAACCCAATATAAGGACTCAATTTTTTTCTTTCTTGCTATTGATTCTAACATATTTATAAGATATTTCTTTGTTATTTTGTATGTCCCTCCCCCATGGTATAATCCCTTTTTTTACTGTGTTTGATATAGGTATAATTTGTGGAGGGGAAGGTGGACCCATTCCAACAATAAGATGTACAAGACGCTCTGTCAGAAAATGAACTTTACAACTTTGGCAGGTGGGGGGGTGGAGGGGAATGCTGGAAAGGGATGGTAATGGGAAACAAAGGAGGAGGCAACAATGCTTGATAAGAAATGTACTCATAACCTTGCCCATGTAATTGTAACCCCTCTGTGCAGTATTTTCACAATAAAAAAAGTAATACTGACAGTTTATGATGGAAAATGTTTTTCTGTGTTTCAGGTTTTTGTTCTTTTTTATGTCAGAGGAATTATTTACACAAATTACTAAACTATTTACTGCTAGCGTTTTAACCTCTATAATTAATATTTAGCATTCTTTGTTTTTTTTCCCCAAAAAATTGTTTTGTTTGATCGTAGGGGAATAGATGCTTTGCATTGTTTTATTTTCTTCAAATAATTTATATATTGTGCTACTTTACTTCTCAAACATTAGGAGAACAGTATTTTATAACTTTGCAGATTGTAACATTTTTATACAAACCTTTGCCTTTCACCTGAGAATAAGGTTTTATAACCACATTTCTTCAGTTATAAGTTCTCACTGTGAATTATTTTAAGTATATTTAGAAATTTTGAAATTTGTTTCCCTCCATCTTAGAAAGAATCTCATCAGACATTAAACCCTCAGACTCATGAACTAAAGCCACATCAGCTCAGCACCTCGTTAACCACTCTTTCTAGACTGAAAGGTTTGGTTCTGTATCTTGGCTTCTACTTTCCTTATCCTTTTCAGAGAATAGCAGCCTCGACATAGTCATTTGCTGTACCTGCCTAATCCTAGTTTCAGAGAAAACTAAATCTCATTTTTGACATTTCTAATTTTCTTTTTTCAAAATAATTTCCACAAAGAGAAAGAATTGCTAACTTTACCTTTACTGCCATACACAGTTCAATGTGCATCTACATGCATTTTTGATTCACAAGTCTAACACAAAGATCACCTAGTTCTCTGCCACACATGGGACCCAGGGGAACTAGGAATATTATTGGTCAGTATAGAGCAAGATGAATTTATCAATTTGGTTCTGGATCCAAGATCACTATGAAAGATGCTTTAACTCACCTGGGAAATTCTTGTCTGAGGCTTCTCTCATATATGGCTCTTTATCTTGCTCCAGCTTGACAATCAATTGAGGTTTAGGACCAGTGTGCCCTGTTAACAAGAGTGAAGACCTATTGCTCATGCTGTGTCAAAATTGTTCTAAGATTTCAGATATCCTGTTAACAAGGTTGCTCCCAGATCTTCTTTCATTTCTCACTGGCTCCATGTTTGACTTTCCCCGAGGTTTCAATTAATTTTGCAGGTTGTGTGACTTTAATGCAATTCTTTTTCTCAAGGTTAGCATTCTATTAGTTTGAGTCCTAGCTCCACTTCCAGTTTAAAAGTGGTTATCTTGAGATAAGAGTCTCATTGAGACTTCACTGGCATTTTTTATTTCAAACTGAAAGCCTCAGATTTCAGACTCTTAAGAATTACAGGCATGAACCACTGCATCTAGTACTAGGTTTGGATTATAAATACTCCCTCTAATCTAGTGATTTCCAGTTCATACTTCCAATAGTGATAAATAGGTATGTATGTATGTATGTATTTATGTATGTATGTGTTTTCTAGATTGTATATCCACCCACAATAATCACCTCAAGTTTGGGAAGACAGTCTTATCTTTATGGAAGACAGTTTGGAACTTTTGTCAAACTTCTGATTTGTATTCTTGAACAATGAAAATAAAATTGCCTCAGAATGTATATAATCTACTTGAAGCTTTCATTAGAAACAAATGACATTCCAACAGACTGGAATCTTACATCCAAATAGCATTGAAAGTTCGATAAATATTCACATATCTACTAAAAACAAATAATTTTCCAGGCACCAGTGGTTCATGCCTGTAATCCTTGCTACTCAATACGCTGAGATCTGAGGATTGCCATACAAAGCCAGCCCTAATAGGAAAGCTGTGAGATACTTATCTCCAATTTAGCCACCTTGAAGAGGTGCTGTTGCTCAAGTGATAGAGTGCTCACCTTGAACTGAAGTGCTGAGGCACTGTACACTGTACCAATGCAGAGAGGTCAAGCCCCACTTTACTTCTCAAGTTAATGTGATATTTTTGGCTCACCTAAGGACACCAGCAAGCTATAAGTTTCCAGCATCACATCTCTATACAGGGCCCTCTGAGAAATAACCAATTCCTGCCACTCCTCCCAGCTGAATTCCACAGCCACGTCATCAAATGACACCAGCTTCTGTCAGGCACATTCAATCAAATTATTATCCCTGAGTCATGAGAACACCAAAGCTAGAATTTCATTTTTCTACATGCATGCTTTTGTATTATAGAATGTTTTTGGGACTTTCTGTGTTATTTATAAAATGAGAGAAAATATAATCAAAGTAGAAATATTTGCATCCATAGTAACTTGGTAATTACACATACAAAGTTTTTCTAATACATCAGAACACATTTCTGGTTCCAGCAATAAAGACAAGAAAACAGTTCTAAGAAGCTAATAACCTAGCAAGAAAACAACAAGTAACCTAGCAAGACAACAGTTAGTATGAGTCTGAAAGTGTGTGTTTAGCTTATTTTGGTAATATTTACTACATATCTGGGTAACAATGAAGTAAACAAACATGTTTTCTGCATTTTCATATTTTGCCTCACTGACAATACTATTTAGATTTTCTATTAAATAGTGCTCTCATAAAAAGTCACAACATTGTCATTACATCATATGGAATACATAACACATTAGTAGATCTATGAAAATGCAGCATCCAGGTGAATGTTAAAAGGAGTAAAATTACTCAAAAAATAGTAAATGAATGATTTGGCTCTTATAAGATTTGACTTAGTTCTCACAATAAAACATCTGATGTTAATCATTTTTGTTATTAAATTTCTAGATATAAAAGTATGGCCATAAATAA